CCTGCTGTCTTCGCGGCCTGTTCCTGGACGCGGGCCCGGCCCCCTCCTTCCCGCCCCCCAGTGCTGAAGGGAAGCGGATTCCGCCTCCTCACGCCTCCTCTCGCACTCCGCGGCCCTTCCAGCCCCCGTCACTGTCCGAGCAAACACACAGACGCGCAGGCCGCCGCACACGGAACCTTTCCCTCCGCTCTTGGAGAGGGAGAGGGAAGAATCACGGAGGGCACCGGCCCCGCGCAGGCTCGTGGGACTCGTAGTTTAGGCTGGGTCTCGCGCAGGAACCCCAAGCCTGGCCAGCCTGTGGGTGCGACTGATTGCCCATTCGTAAAAAGCTCACCTGTTCTTGTGTTTACACGCTCTCTTCGTTTAGAACGTGTGTTCCTAAACCGGGCATGGTGGTGCACGCCTGTAAACCCAGCCCTTTAGTGGGTCTGAGGAGGGAGGATCTAAGTTCGATTCCTGCCTGGGGAATTTGGGAGACCGCCTCCCGAAATTATAAAAATAAAAAGGGTAGGGATGTAGCTCAATGGGAAGGTCCTGGACTCAATCTCCGGTGCCACACACAAGAAGAAATAAAATAAAAATGTGTTTCTGGTCTCTCTACGTGAGGGCTCCTGAGGACAGGGTGGAGCTGCGGAACTCGGATGCGAGCAGAAGTGGGGTGCCTTTCTGAAATCTGAGCGAAAGATTTTAATAGAGAAAAGGAAGGAAGCAAGGCTGAGGCCAGTAATATCTCCATGGTTACTCTGAACGATTCTCTTGGTTTGCGGACACAGCGGCTCCTGGAGAATCCGCTGAAAACACCTTGGGGGTGGTGAAATCGCTCATATTTGAGTTCCTTTCTCCTCCGACTTTCCTTCTCCACATGGGGAGGGAGGATGCGTGAAGGAGTCGATAAGACCCATAAACTGAAGTACAGTTGGTTTAATGGAGGAAGGAGACCCAGCGAATAAGAGGAAGCTGAGGTTTGTAGCCTTCCGAACCACTGCTGATTATCTTAACGAGGTTTCTGCCAGTATTCAAGGTTTCCACTGACTGTCTAGGACTCTGGACACAATTACGAAGTGGGCAAAACGACGCCAGCTACCTATTTTCCTTCTTCCCGTTTTCTCTTCCTTCTTCATCAGGCACAAAGCCCCATCTATGTCTTTCTTGGGTGGAAAGACTTCATCTTTAACCAGGACAGACCTCTTCTCTGAGACACTAAATGGTGTCGTTCCTCAAATGGATTGAAGGGAAGATTTGAGTTTGGCTCTGGACCCACACTTGCACTTCTATGGCCGGGCCTTGCCTTGTAACCCCACGCACGATCCTGTTCGCCATCTGTGAGGTGAGGTTTGGACTAGTTGATCTTTTCCTCTCTCTGGGTCCTGCTTCAGACATTGTCCTCTCTCTTGCCTCTGATCGAATCGAGTGCAGGTGATCTTAACTAAATGATGTCGTGATATTCGGATGGATTCAGCGTGAAGTGTGAAGGTGTTCTCGTTCCGGAACTTCCAGCATCTTATAAAAAAAAAAGTCACTAATGCAAGAGTCTGTGCCTGGTAACCATGATGACTGGCGGTGAGGAGGGAGGCTCATACTCCTTCCCATTTACTTCCTGTCTTTTGTTCACGTATTCCCTACTGGCTGTTCCTCTTCTTTGCAAGGTGGTAGTCCCTGTACACCACACACACGCGCACGCACACACACGCACAGACACCAAGGCTCCATAAAGCAGAAAGGAAAATACAAAATGGGAATTTAATACGAAGTGGTTGGTACTATTTCTAAAAAATAGAAGAGATGTAGCAAAGTAATGTGTAATTGACAATACACAATGATTTCCAGAAAAGGGAGATCAGATGAGAGACCATGCAGACTGGAGTTTTCCAGAAAAGCAATCTACCTGAAAGGTGGGGCATATTTTGGATAGATGGAAGTAATCAGAGAGGGCATTATTTGGTGATTTGTTTTATTTTAAAAGCCCTCTATTGATGGGTCTTTAGGATTTTTCCAGTCTTTTTGTAATACAAACAATGCGTCAGGAAATTGCTTTTTATAAACATCATTTTGAATCCCCCCCCCGTTGTGTGTGTGTGTGTGTGTGTGTGTGTACTGGGGAGTGAACCTAGAGTATTGTTGCTCAGTTACATCCCCAGCCCTTCTTTTTCTTTTTAATTTTGAGATAGGGTCTTCAATAAGTCATCTAGGTTGGGCTCAAATCTATGACCCTCCTGCCTCAGCCTCTAGATTGCTGGGATTGTAGGCCATGAAAACCAGCTCACTCTCATTTTTTATATGGGAAAAATGTTTTGTTATTTAAAAATCAAAGGGTATGACAAAATGAGTCCTTAAACCCAAGCAAAATACATATTTTATTCAAATATCTAATTCAAAGGACAAATGAGATAATTAGGGATTTAAACGGTAAGAAGAGAATTAAATTAGTGTAGGAAAGTGTCTCCTGAAAGTGATGAGGACTAAACATTTCATTAAGATAAACATACTTTAGTCCCTCCTAGATCACCATTAAAGTGGGAGTAAGGGATTTTTATAAAGCATAGTTACAATAATGAGAGTAACCAAAAATAAAAAAAGGAGAGTAACCAATAAAAAATAAGTGGAAGCTAGAAAGCAAATCGACCGTATTAGTTACGAAGTTACCAGCCTGGGAAACCTGAATCCTAAACAGGAAGTGGGAAAGCTGAGACCCTGCCTGCCTTACACAGCCGAAGCCTCATGGGTGAGCAGTGGTGGCGGTAGCTCAAAAGTGTAGGAGCCGTCCTATGCACGTGGTACAGGGCCCCTGAGCAGGAATTGAAACATGGGTTTTGAGAATTGTCTGAAACCCCCTTCACCCTCCCCCAGGAAGAATGAAATATTTACTCTCCAGGGAGGGTTAAGTAGGAGCTCTCTGAAGAGCAAGTGAAATAGGGACCTCAGGATTCCAAGGGTTTACTTGCCAAAGAGGAACTGGAAGCATCTTCAGTGAACCTGACCAGACCAAGACTAAAAGCTCTAAGACACTGATGTCAGAACAGAGATTTCGAGGTTTTCTGGAAGCTGGCAGAATCCGGCTTAGTCGCTGCAGTATCTGCCGCACCTCCTAAGTCACCTAGTAGGTGACCGTTAGATGTTTGTTGAATGATTTCTAATATTTAGGAACAAAGGAGAAGTTAAAAACCACTCATTTCTACTATCTAGAAAGAACTGGCAGATTATATTTGTATCAATGTTATCAGAGAAAGAGGGATAGATGAGAAATATATTGATCTTTCCTTTCTAACTTTACTTTTTTATTACAAGTTCTTCTTGCTCCAAAACACACTAATATTTAATTTTTTTCATGTGAAATTAAGAACAGGATTACAAATAGAAAGCATGAGTATTCTCTACTAGGCAGCAGAAAATCACAATCAAATTCAAGAATTTAAAAAATTCACAAACTAGGGGCTGGAGGTTTAGTTTAGTGATAGTACTTGCCTAGCATGAAGCCCTGAGTTTGAGCTCCAGTGTCACAAAACAAATAAATAAAGTTTGAAATGCCACAAACTGAAGAAGAAAATGCAACAATTACGCATTTCCGCTTTTTTCAGAGCCATTCCTTTATTACTCAGCGAACTGTCATCTTTTAAAGTGAAATTGGGCTCAAGAAGAATCATGGAAGAAAAGATAAGAAAATACATTTCATTTCTTCATTTTTCCCACAAATTAAGACAAGCTCACCATTATGAAATTACCAGAGGAGCACATCTTTTTCCCGCTCAATACTGATTTCCAAGGGGATGTGCCTGAGAACCCCTGGCTCTCAATTGTGCTGGATCATCTTGCTCTCTTCTGTCTGTCCACTGCTTGCAGAGCTGCAGAACAGTGCTTCTCGAACTTTAACATGCACATGAATCACAGGGGGATCTTGATAAAGCGCATTTCTGACTCTGAAATTCTGCAGTTTCCCTTGAGAGTCCGCGTTGTAACAGCTCCCAGTGGAGTTCGAGCTGCCAGGATGTAAGGAAATAGTCCAGGAGTTGGCAAACCCTCCTGACTGAGGAAGTGGGCCTTGCAATCCAAGCAACCTGTGTTCAAATCCTAAATCTACCCCTTCCCGTTTGGATGTCCTTGGGGACATGATTTATTTTCTCTGATTCTTAGTTCCTCACCTATAAAATGTGGATAATAGTACTGCTTTATAGGGTTAATGTGACTATTAAAAGAGTTGCCAGTTTGACCTCAAATTAGGTCAGAATAAGTGTTTTTGTTTCTTTCCTTCTTTTTTTGTACTAGGAATTGAACTCAGGGTCTCATGCGTACTAGACAAGTGCTCTATCACTGACCTATACTCCCAGCCCAAGATTATTTTGTTGTTGTTGTTGCTTTGGCTTTTTTGTTTTGTTTTGTTTTGCTTAGAGCAATGTGTCCGCTTTCCATTGCTGTAACTAAATACCTGAAAAAATTACAGGAGGAAAGGTTTATTTTGCTTATGGGCTCTGAGATTTCAGCCCCTGGTCCCCTGGGCATTGTCTTCCTGGCCTGTGGTGAGGCAGAACATCATGGCGGAAGGTGGAAGGGAGGCCAAAGCTGCTCACCTTGTGTCAACCAGGAGAGAGACAGAGGGAGAGAGGTACAGACAAAATATACCCTACAAAGACTCTCTCCCAGTCACCTGCTTCTTCCAGCTAGGCTCCATCTTGTACCGTTTCCCTCACCTCCCAGGAGCCCATCAGGCTGTGGAGCCACAAGCGGATTAATCCATTCTTGAGGTCAGAGCCCTCCTGACGCAATCACCTCCCAAAGCCCCACAGACTGGAGCCTGCTGCCCTGGGGACCAAGCCTTCATCAGCTTTGCGGAGTCATCTGAGATCGCAGAATCTGACACAGTACAAGCACTTGGTAAACGGCAGCTGCTTTTACGGTCTGTGTTATCAATGCGTATAATCTTGAGAAGTCACCAGCCTGTCTGAGTCTTGGTTTTCTCCTCCATCAAACAGAATAATAATACTGCCCACCTCAGAAGTTATTATGAGGATTAAAATGGGGGCATAGTATATGAAATGCTTAGCTAAGAACTTACACAGAGAAGGCACTCGATAAAAGTAACCGAGATGATGATGATGGTGATGATGATGAAGATGATGATGATGATGACGATGGTGACAACGAGCCTCGTGTCCATCCTGGATCTATGACTTTTGTTAAAAGGAAGAATCCTAAACTCAACGTGGTGGAATATACCTGTAATCCCAGCTACTCAGGAGGCTGAGGCAAGAAGATTGTAAATTCAAGGCCAGCCTTGAACTTGGTGAGACCCTGTCTCAAAGAAAGATAGGTAGGGCTGGGGGTTTAGCTCAGTGGTGCTGTCGCCTGCCTCCCAAGCTTAAGGACCCTCATTCGATTCCCAGTACCAAAAAAAAAAAAAAAAAAAAAAAAAA